GTATAAAACTACCATTGAATGATCACTAAAAGATGTATTTGAATACATAATATTCTTAACAAAAATGCGTAGATCGTTAGAAACCAATATATAATCAATTCTGCTTTGTATAAGATTCTCTTCAATAATACGTTTCCATGAAAATACAAGCTCTCTTTCGTTTCTTTTTCTCCATATATCAATAACATGAAACTTGTTCATTATTTCTATCAATGCTTTATAACTCTGGTCATATTTATGATTTGTTTTTCCACATCTATCATCTTCACTAAGTGTGTTAATAAAATCTTTTTGTAACAGGAATAACTTTCAAAATTCTTTAAAAAAACATTGTTCTTTCTTTAGTATCATTTGGTGCATATATGTTGATGATGTCAAGAATTTCATCATTTTCTTTATATCTAACATGTAAAAATCTTCCATCAAAACTTTGAACAAAATCTACATTCGAATTTATATTATTCTTTATTAAAAAAGCTACACCTCTGGCTGGCCCAACAAAATTTTTGCTTATCAACTTTTTTTTCAGGTAAGTAAAAAAAAAAATCCTAGCTCTGGCTGCTGCCCCCTTTCAAAAACGATTCTACGTTATTAACTACGGAAATGGTACGGTGAAGATATTAAAGCTACTGAACTAATGTAAATTCTTGTAACAAGAATCGTAATATCTATATTTTTGAAAAAGTATTAAGATGACAAGGCCCTGATATATATATATATATATATGTCGTCAGTGTTTGCCATAGAAATCATCCATCTGTTGTACACGTTAGCCAAAAAATGTTTACCCACCAAAATCAAACGTTTGCAGCACGCTTCTTAAACAAGTAAGACGATAAAAAACTTTCCTGTCTGTTGTCACAGTTGCATCTGTCGTCCCAGTTGCCGGTAATAGGGTGTGATCCTTGAATGGGTTCAAATTATTGGATCCGCCAAGATGCCCGCCACTTGACGTGGCAGGCATCTCGAACACTCTTTAATTGTTCAATAGTTTACAATGTTCAAGTCAAAAACTAACAAAATATGAACATATATACACTATGCCTCCCACTAAAACGTAGAAGACAAGAATTCACTATTTACAGTTGACACAAAAGGTCAATTTATGCGGAGCCTAATTCCTTCGTGCTCACTACAATAAGCAAACCGGAAGTCTCTCAGTGAGAGACATACCACTAGACCATGGAGCCGCTGTAACATGCCGACAATTGTATACAAACATGAAGTGACATACATGTATATATTCACGTTCGATATTGTCAAAATTTTACACAATGCATGGTGTCTAATTTAACCTTTATTAAACAGTTCTAATAGATGTAATAAGAATATAATGTCCATCGAAAACCTGTTTTATACGTAATAATTCTCCTCGTGTCCCTGTGCTAAAAATAGCGACATGTAATACAATAAAAACTAATAAAACAAACGGGGCGGGGCAATTTGAGAGGAATGAGAGAGGTCCTAGGGAGTTTTGGTATAATATTACATAGCAAAAGCTCAAAATCTTCTTGAAATATCGCCCGAAAATGATAGTGTTCATACAAAGAGGATGTATAAATTAACGACCTTGAACTTTGACCTTTTGACCTCAAAATCAATAGGAGTCTTCCTTAGACCACAGGGAGTTATTATGTAAAATATCATTGCAAAAGCTCAAAGGGTTCTCGAGATATCGTGTGGAAACGAAAGTGTTATAACAGACAGAATTTGCTTATTTATGACCTTGACCTTTGACCTTTTGACCTCAAAATCAAAAGGGGTCTTTTGTAGTCCATAGTGAGTTGCTATGCTAAATTTCATTGCAAAAGTTCAAAGGGTTCTCGAGATATCGGTTGGAAACGAAAGCGTTACAGACAGACAGAAAGACGGACGGACGGACAGACGGACAAACCCAAATTAATATCCCCCACTTTTCAAGCGGGGGACAAAAATATTGTGAAAGTCCTAGGGAAAAAATAGCCCAATTTATGCTTAAAATTAATACAATATTATCAATATCTAAAAATTAACATCACAGATCCCCACTTTTTGTCCCCCGCTTGAAAAGTGGGGGATATTAATTTGGGTTTGTCCGTCCGTCCGTCCGTCTGTCCGTCCGTCCGTCCGTCCGTCTTTCTGTCTGTCTGTAACGCTTTCGTTTCCACACGATATCTCGAGAACCCTTTGAGCTTTTGCAATGAAATTTAGCATAGCAACTCCCTGTGGACTAAAGAAGACCCCTATTGATTTTGAGGTCAAAAGGTCAAAGGTCAAGGTCATAAATAAGCAAATTCTGTCTGTTAAAACACTTTCGTTTCCACACGATATCTCTAGAACCATTTGAGCTATTGCAATGAAATTTTAAATAACAACTCCCTGTGGCCTAATGAAGACCCCTATTGATTTTGAGGTCAAAAGATCAAAGTTCAAGGTCGTAAATTTATACATTCTGTCTGTGTTAAATACTATTATTACCGGGCGATATTTAAAGAAGATTTTAAGCTTATGCAATGTAATTTTATATCAAAACTCCCTATGACGTCTCTCGCCCCTCTCAAAGTGCCCCGCCCCGTTTGTTTTATTAGTATTTATAGTATGACATGTCGCTATTTTTAGCGCAGGGGCATGAGGAGAGTTATTGCGTATAAAACAGGTTCTCGGCGGACTTTATATTCTTATTACATCTATTAGAACTGTTTAATAAAGGCTAAATAAATCAAACACCATGGATTGTGTAAAATTTTGAGAATACCGAACATGAAAACATGAATATATACATGTATGTGACTTCACTTCTGCATATACTTCACACCGAGTAAAGCGATTCCGTGGTCTAGTGGTTATGTCTCTCGCTTCCAGTGTGAGAGGTCCCGTGATCGAATCTCGGTCGAACCTTTCTTTTTTTTTTTTAAATACTTTTTTTTTAACTTAAAGTAATATACGCTGTAACGTGCGCCATTTTAAAATACGGCTGGAAATTTATATATTTTGTTTACCAATAAAAGTTACGAAAATGCTATAAATTACACCATTTAAATAAAATTCGTTATAAAGTTATCAAATTATAATTATATTATCCTGCAAGGAGAATAATGTCTATTTTTAAGTAAATCCACCACGTGACGCCGTCGCTACTTTTAGATTGATAAACAAACACGGCGTCAAGAAAACGAGGTAAGCCCTTTGAGATACAACTCACTTTTGATATGGATGGCGTGTTACTATTAATATAACTTATCTTTAAATGTAATCAGTATCAACCATCTATACTCTGTTATGACGCATATTAACCTTTTATTAATAATCGTTGTCAAAATGCAACGTGCCTCGTTGTCTATAATTTCCCGTGGACATACGTGTCTATATTTAGACCTACTGTTTACGCACTTCCTTTATCAATATTCATGAAAAGACTGAATTCTTGATTGCAGATATTGCTTTATTGTTCTGTTATTACAACGAGTTTTATAGTTAAATTTTGTGGAAATATTATTTTTTCATTACACTTTATGTGTTTCAAATCATTTAATCATTTTGTTTCACATACAAATCGGCATCCATACGGCGTATATTACTTTAATGATAGTATTCAGCATGTGAAATGAAAAATTTATGAAGTTATAAAATCATCATTACAGTGTGATAAAAATTCCATATAAAGAAATCTTCTATACACATAATGAAGAATAAGCAATCAAATCTTTATATGCATATTGACATACATGTATTTTATTATACCCCCCGCTTGAAAAGCGGGAGGGTATATAGTAATCGTTAATTCCGTCCGTCTGTACGTCTGTCCGTCCGTCCGTCTGTCTGTCCGTCCGTCCTTCCGTCTGTTACGCTTTGGGGTACCCATCTCTTATCCGCAACTCCTCGCATACCACTGAATGAAATTTGATGCAATTTTCACAGAATCTTTATTACATATTGCCATTGTGCACCTCCTATTTTACTTTTTGATCCGACACATATTTTGGGTTTCCCGGCCACAGGAAAACATGGACTTTTTCACCAGTTATAACAATATGGGAGGCGGGGGGTATCATTTAGTGAGCTCATCGCTCACAGTACCTCTAGTTTGCTTCAGTATACATGTATACATTTAATAATTCTACAAATTCAGTCAGGGGGATCCGACTTTTTCCCTAAGCGGGGGACACGAATTCTCTGAATTAGCTTGTTTCTTTTCTGAATAATATGAAACACTGATTCCCAGTATGGCAGCTTATGGCGAGGATTGAATGTTCTCAAATGCATGTAATACTCAATACGTCAAAACTGTTGATACCCAAATGGCGGCCTTGTCACAAGAAATACACCTGTTAAATATGAAAGCCCTAGTCCTAACTGTTCAAAAGTGATGACCAAGGGTAAGTTTTTTTTTTAAAAAGTGGGTCAAACTCTAAGATCAAGGTCAAAGGGTAAAAAATATTTATATCCTTTGAAAGGTCTTGTCACAAGAAATACATCTATTAAATATGAAATCCCTAGTCCTAACTGTTCAAAAGTCATAACCAATGGTAAGTTTTTTTAAATTTTGGCCAAACTCCTTAGATCAAGATCAAAAGGTAAAAAAAAAATATTTATACCCTTTGAAAGGTCTTGTCACAAGGGATGGACATATTAAATATGAAAGACATAGTTCCTCTCAATCAAAAGTTATGAGCAAAGTTAAAGTTTTATAGTGGACAAACACACAGACGAGCACGTTAAAAACTATAAACCCCAAAAACTTCGTCTACAGGGAATAAAAAGACGGTATTTCTTCCCATCATTCATTTGGACAAAATATTATTGGAAAAACTTGAAAACTTGATTAATGTGTTTGACGTTATTACAGTGTGGAAAGGTAATATCACCTGCTTGCAATTTCGTGATATTTTACAAATTTATTATGGGCATCATTTTCCTTAAGCTCTTCCTAAGTTTGGTCTTTGTAGTCTTTATGTTACGATCCCCTGGTTAAAAGATTAAGAAGGAAAAAAAAATAAGAGTGAATCAATATCAACACTCACTATTTAATGGTTGGTAACACATAACTCTAGTCTCATAGCTACAGCTGGTGGACACGGAATTCGCACACCTTAGCAAGGAATCTTCAATTCCGCTACATCCAATGATATATAAGAACCATTTGTCTTTTCCCCGTGATACAGTTGTCGGCGATGAAAATGAAAAACCTCTACAAAAAATAACCGCTTATTTTATACAGAAAAAATTTAATTTTTCAAATTTATATCGACGAAATTACTTAATTAATGCAATTAATTTTGACTTATATGAAATTCCCGAAATGTAGATATTTCTAGAATCTAAGAAAAGAATTTCCAGTAGGGTTACTTTAAATACAAACAAGAAAACATTGATGTAACCATCAATTGTCGCCCGGGAAATATATAAAGTAAACAATGAAAATAAGTCTCGATCATCAAACCGCTTTCGATATGTGTGAAAAGGCATGCGTCTAATTGATGGAGACGACAGTCGCAAATATTTTGAAAACTTGTAGTCGTATAAAAATCATTCAAAAACGGTACCATTTTAAACTTGATCAATTCCTCAAGTAAATGTTGGCTGCATAAAATATAAATTGAAGTTAGACACAGGCATCACCTATATTTAAAAATGTATTAATTTTCAATTTTAGAATATAAAACACGAACTGTGCAGAGTACGTTTTTATCCGAGAAGTAAAATTCGATGTTCTAAAAAAAGGGACCTGCGGTTTTTTGATAGTATATGATAAGCAACTTTATATATTAAGTATGAAAAACGTATATATTTTTGCAGATTCACTTTATGGAAGTAAATATATATATTTATCTCGTAATTTATAAACTGAAAGAACATTCTGATTAACAATCTTTTCAATGTTTAGAAAACCTTTAATTCTAAATAACTACTCCCACCCTAATTCCCATACACGAACACTTAAACTTATATGTATAGAGCAGCCCGGTCCTCCGGGCTGCAATAATCATAATGTACAAGAATAACAATATGAAGCGGCAATTGATTTACTAACATAAATTTGATTTTGCACATTTCTAAATGTGCTAGATACATGTATAAATATATCTATATGTAAAGACAATCATATATAAACTTGATTAAGAAGATATTGATTAACAAGAAGCCCAGGGGCCACAGCGCTCACCTGAGCACATTGGCTAGGAAAAAGGACTTATCAAATCAGAACTAAAAGTTTACTAAGGTGGCGAGGGGGGGGCTTAAAATTTAACCCCCCAGTGGGTCAAGATTTGAACAAACTAGAATCTACACTACCTGAGGATGATTTCATATAAATATAACTAATCATGGCTTTGAAGTACTTGAAAACATTATTTCAAAAGGTTTCCCAATATATCCCTATGAAAAACTTTGGTCAGCCATTTTGGCCCACCCTAGCCCCGGGGGTCATGATTTGAACAAATTTGAATCCACACTACCTGAGGATGATTCCACATGAGTATCATCTTTCCTGGCTCAGTGGTTCTAAAGAAGACGATTTTTAAAGTTTTTTAGCTCACCTGAGCCGAAGGCTCAAGTGAGCTTTTCTGATCACATTTTGTCCGGCGTCCGTCTGTCCGTCTGTCTGTCTGTCTGTAAACTTTTCACATTTTCGACTTCTTCTCAAGAACCACTGGGCCAATTTCAACCAAACTTTCCACAAAGCATCCTTGGGTAAAGGGGATTCAAATTTGTTCAAATGAAGGGCCACGCCCTCATTCAAGGGGAGATAATTGGGAATTAATAAAAATTTGATGGCATGTTTTAAAAATCTTCTTCTCAAGAACCACTGTGCCAGGAAAGATGAAACTTATGGGGAAACATCCTCAGGTAGTGTAGATTCAAGTTTGTTCAAATCATGACCCCCGGGGGTAGGGCGGGGCCAAAATGGCCGACCAAAGTTTTACATAGAAATATATAGGAAAATTTTTTAAAAATCTTCTTCCCAAGAATGACAAAGCCATAATTGATCATATTTATATGGAAGCATCCTCAGGTAGTGTAGATTCAAATTTGTTCAAATCATGACCCCCGGGGTAGGGCGGGGCCACAATGGCCAACCAAAGTTTTACATAGAAATATATAGGAAAATTCTTTAAAAATCTTCATCTCAAGAATAACAAATTAAGCCATAATTGATCATATTTATATGGAAGCATCCTCAGGTAGTGTGGATTCAAATTTGTTCAAATCATGACCCCCGGGGTAGGGGGGGGGGCCACAATGGCCAACCAAAGTTTCACATAGTAATATATAGGAAAATTCTTTAAAAATCTTTTTCTCAAGAATAGCAGAGCCATAATTGATCGTATTTATATGGAAGCATCCTCAGGTAACTTGTAAATTCAAGTTTGTTTTTTTTCCTTTG